ACCAGATTATATCATGCATAGTGAATTATTTTAAAATTTTCTTCAGAACAAAGTTTAAATATAATATTTCATTTTTGCATTGATCGAAATTTAAATGTGGTGTTTCATTAATAAAATTATAATTATTTTAATCTAACACAAATTGAATAATTGGGTAATTTTTTGCGAAGCAAATTGAATTTTTTGTTTATATTTCTTTGAATTATTTTTTTCTAGAAAGAATAGTTTATGGTACCAACAAACATAGTAATATATATTTATTCATGTAACTTATCACCTTGTATAAATTTAAATTATTTTTTTATGTGGTTTGTTGTAAGAGAAATATCTAGATTATGTTTTCTTGTACACATACTTTCTATTAAATACTTGAGAGTAGATTTCTGAACAAATACATATAACACTCGTTCTTTTCAAACGAATTCATAAAATTGGAAATAAACCAACAAATTATTATATTAAGTTTTTTTTACTCTTAGAACTTTGCATATCAGGCAGTTATACAGTATTAATTTTAATCATCAAAAGCAGTCATGCTTAAAGTTTTTATCATTTTGATTACCTTGTTTCAAGGTGCATTATTGGGGAACACAGTTATTTTTCAAACTCCAGACATTCTCACTATTTCTTACATCAAAAATAATCCAAATTTCTATAACTATTGTGACCAACAATTGGAAGATGTGGTAGAAATAGATGAATGTCATTCATTTATAGCTTGTAAAGGATTAAGTGATTTGGCAAATAATGATCCACCCACCAATTTTTCAAACATAAACGGCATAGGTGGAGACTTTGATAAATGGGCCGGAAGCAAAGAATACAGGGGATATATCCTTATTCCCAGTTTTAACATTAAATGTAATGCTGAAGGTTATCTTGTCTTGGCTAATCCTGACTATCATAATCAAGAAAATCCAACTAAAAATCCAGAAAAAGTCGCCGATGCCGAACACAATCCTTATGGCTATACAAAAATCCCTCAAGCACCTTGGGGAACCCGTTGGCTTTATCAAACTTGTCCTGTTGAATATGAACAGGCTGATATTTATACAGAGGACCCAACATTCAATGGGTTTCAATCCAAACCAATCAATAGTAATACTTGCCTGAATATTCATAATTTTAGAACTAGTCGATTATCTCCTTGTGCACGACGTGCTCAACAGGAAATAACAAAAACAGATGCGCTATTTATTTTCACTAACATTAATATGAAAGTTTGTTGCGACCATCAAGTTTCTATTACTATTGATCGTAGTATTTTCCCCCAGACCTGTCTTTACATTGATGAAAAAATGGTTGGTGAATGAGAACAGACTGATCTTGGCAAGTTTATCCAGTCTGGGGGCAGTCAGCCAGATCCTTCTAAATTATCTAAGGCTGGTCACGGAAAAATTGCTCATTCTAGTAAATCATTAATATATAATGAAAAAGTTGAAAAGGTGATTCCGGCATAATACAATAAGGGAAGTATTTATTTTTGGTTTTATTCATTTGGTATATATTGAGAATAGCTCTATATTTTTATATTTCACTCTACAATATATATGTATATTTTATCTTTATTTCTGAGAATAATAAATAGAATTGTATCGCTATAGCTTCGGAAAAGTAAAAAATGTAAAATTTATTGTACAAGAAGCAGATTACATAATTTATAGTATCATTTTTTTCATTTTCGAGCTAGAATTCGTTTACAAGAAAGGACAAACCAAAAAAAATCACGAATAAATGTGATATCAGGTTTTTCGAAAACAGCATAATTCTTATACTTGTGTAGATCTGGTTAATATATAAATTTTGTTATACTAAATTTGGCTATTCTCTCAACAGGTTATGTATTAACAATGCAACAATATAATCTCAAATATAGAAAATGTGTAATTGTTGGTTAATCTATCGTGTTCAATAATTGTGGTGCCGAATTTAGTAAACACGCAATTGTTTGTTTGTTAGTAATTATTATGACGCCAAATAAAAATTGTTAGTTGACTCATGTTGGATTATTGCAATGCCGAGTCATTTATATTGTATATTGCTTCGTATCAGATTGTTATATACTAAATAAGAATAAGTCGTGATTTATAATAAAAGGGTTATCCTCACTACAAAGTTCTGTTCCGAATTTGTTAGTTTTCAAGAGAACATCTTAAAAATTTTTATTTTTGTTTTTATAAATCACATACTTGTGTCAACATTATGTCGCTACAAAATACACCCACTATGTCAAAGGCCTTCAAGAGAAATTTGTGTAAGAAAGAACTACGCACCATAAAAAAAGCTAAAATTGAAAAATCCGATAGCTCAATTGTCGGAGAGGGTATTTCCAATTCTAATGCTAATCATATCGCAGAAAGTACGAACATATTTTACGATCCTTTAAAAGTAGGTTAAATATCTTTTATTATATTTAGTTTTATAGTATAGTCTTCTTAGGGGTACTTTTCGTCTTTCGAGGCAGGTCTAGGATCCGAATATTCCCTCCCTATATAAAGTTATTTTTTCATCTCGGGCGTGATCGTCATCCTTGATATGGGGTGTGTGTGAGGAGGAAGGTGACGCAGACTTCATGGGTTTTAAACCCCCCCAAACCACATCACTGAGAGTGATTCGAATATATCCACCAAGAAGATTTTATTATTATTCAACATAAAGTATTTTTTGTATATCAATTTACCGGTTTTTTGAATATATATTTTCTAGCACAAAACTCAAAGCGAGACCCATCTATCTAAGAGCAAATCACGTGAATATATTCTATCTTACTAGAAATCCAAAGATTTCATAGCAAGCGATCTTAAGTCAAAGAATGATTTGCAATCTATTTTTTTAATGAATTCAAAGATCAACTTTTTCGAAAAATTTGCAGAAAGAAGACGACAATGAGAAGTTATTAAGACGCTACTGGACCGAGAATTGCTTCTATTAAATGCTGTAAAGCAAAACACCTTTTCCTTTAAATATGATACTTTTTCCAAATTTGACCTAGAAAATATTTGGAGCGAATTATACAATTCAGAAAGATCACTACCACCCCAAACCACACAA